TTTATAGAAGTATTATTAACAAATTTTAATCATTATACAAGTATATAATTTAAATGTACTTCAAAAGACCAATATTGCTAATTGATATAATTATTTATTGATAGAATTTTATATAATTAATTATTATTGATTGATGTTTTAAATTTGTATTTATAATTTATAGCAATACTAAGTATATTTTATGATACCATTTTACATACACATAAATATTTTTGAATGTATAAAATATTAACCAATTATAGAAATTATATAATTTATTTGAAAAAATTTTCTAATAAAATATATTCAGTTTTAAAACCAATATGTCATTTTAATAGATCCATCTGAATTCTTTTGAGTTTCCATTGTACTTGTTTGTCGAACTAATCGATGAATATTCTTATTTTTTATACTATCTTGTATGAACCATTCTGGATTACTATGAAGATTCAAATTTTCTATATTAGCCGTATATTTAGTAATTTTTGTATGAGAACTAAAATAAAACACAATTGTTATGTGAATATAAGTAATATATTGTAAATAATAATTGGAATTTTTTTTGGTTTGCAGTTTTTACAAAAGCTACGCTTTTTACAATAAAATTAATATATGTCAAGTTTGATATGTAAAATTTATGAAACTGTATTTTATATTATTTTTAAGTTCCATATCTAATTATGGATCAGATATATGATTATCATCAAGACAATTAAAGTCTATTTGTTTAATTATAGTATATCATTGTTTGTACATAAAAATGCATATAAAGTATCAGCTATTATTGATTTTATATAAATAGAGACAATAATTTTTAGATTTAATACAAACGAAATATGATGATTTTATCATGTAATACGGCAGACATTTTTTTTTTTTAAATATATTGCAAAAATAATTTTGTCTAATTTATCTAAAACTAGTGGTACTAATTTTTTTTTAATGTATCTTTGACAATCTAAAAACAATGCATGATTTTTCTTCACATTTAAAAAAAAAATGACAAAATTTAACAAAACATCAAGCATACTACGTAATTATATAAAATAGAGTTAATTTTTTAAGATAAAGATTATGAATATCCATTGATCCTTTTATGAAATTATATTTTTAATTTAATGAAATTTTATTTTTAAAACAACTAAATAAGATTTTTTTTAAAACTTTATTTTTTAATTATAATATAAATGATCAGTACTTGTCTGGGATCAGACTGAAAATCTCCCTTTGATGGTGGGTGGAGATGTTGCGGGCAAGTGAAGGAGGCAAATGCAATTATTCAATTCCAGACACGGTGTGTCTTGTCTTTCCTTTATTAAATATATTAATATAACAATTAGTTAATCGTCATAAAAGCGTATGAATGAAGAGTGTGAGTGAATTATTTTATGAAGTTTCTTCAATTGTGTTACATGCTGATGAGAGTGTGTGTACTCTTAGTAATGTGAGGTGTGACTCCTTCCCTTCAGAGAAGTGTTGCTGTAGTTGCCGGCGCGTGCCAAGGGAGATTGGAAGGAGCGTGGAAGGGATCAGCAATGAATTTTATATATTCCTTCAAGGGGATGATTGCTTGGTTTGAGGTCTATTCTAACGTTGTAAAGGTTACCAGAGAGACCCTATCATACACATAAAGGGATTATGTTATTATTGAATGATCTGTGCTAACGTTGCAAGGATTAGCAGGGAGAGTCGACCATACTCATAAAGGGAAGTATGGGATTTGTGGGTGGTAGTAACCCTTAATAGAGACTACTGGTATACTCTCGTGTGAAGGAGTGGTCCGATATCATGCTTCTTGAAGTCGATTATTTCCTTAAACTGCAGCACCCTTGACTGGTTGATAATCGTTGCGTACTAGAGAATTGAACATGTGTTCTTTGTAATGGCTGCACTGAGGGTGCGTGATCGTGTGACGAGCTCTCGCCTGTAGACTGCGGCTTAATAGCGTGACATGAAGCATAGATGACTGACCAGGACGAATAACTGACTTGAAGAAACAACTGACTTGGAGGAGTCACTGACTTGGAGTAGTAACTGACAACGTGTCTTAATGCACGCTGCTTAAATATCCACAAGGCAGCTAAGTGATCTGGCAACAATGCTAAGATGTTGCTATGCGGAGACTAGGAAGACTTGTACAACGTTCGAGAATCTAAGCTTTCGATTATTTGAGAATTCAGCGAAAGCAAAGCCTTGGAAAATTCAAAAATTCAATCAACTTTGCTTTATGAAGGATATGCATCCTTGTAGAACGTTCGAGAATGTAAGCTTTCAGCTATTCGAGAATTCTGCTTGTGAAATGTTTACAAACATTGAAGATCTAAAAGGCTTTGAAAATTTCCGAGAACGGAATACCTCGGAAAATGCTCCAATTCCGAACTACCATACAATTCAGTATAACGATAACTTTCTACCTCACGATGTAATATATATCTCTACAGTTTTTAATATTTATTTATAAATTGAATCTGAAATTAATCATTAAGGCAAAAAATTTATGTAATATACTGTCTAGGATCAGACTGAAAACCTTCCGTTGATGGTGGGTGGAGGTGTTGCGAGCAAGTGGAGGAGGCAAATGCAATTATTCAATTCCACACACATTATATATTTTCTTTCCTTTATAAAATACAATAATATAATAATTAGTTAATGGTCATAAAAGCGTATGAATGAAGAGTGTGAGTGAATTATTTTATGAAGTTTCTTCAATTGTGTTACATGCTGATGAGAGTGTGTGTACTCTTAGTAATGTGAGGTGTGACTCCTTCCCTTCAGAGAAGTGTTGCTGTAGTTGCCGGCGCGTGCCAAGGGAGCGAATGAGATGATGCTGTCTTTGCCGCTGATGTGATTGCAGTATGCGTGAAAACCGCCGCTGTTGTAACCGATGCTTACTAAAGCAAGACCTGAGTTGCTACTGCTTTAGCCGTCGATGTGATCCGTTAATGTATGCAGTAGTATAGTTTCGATATTTTACTCTCAGTTATGTTTGCGCTAGTGCTTCTTAAATATAGGTTTACGTTTAAGTTTAACGTATTTAATGTTGTGGTGTCACTATTAGGTTGTTGAACTGCTTGATGCTTACGTACTTGTATAGCTACAGTGAGTGATGACTGTAGTATGAATGCTTAATGATCTAATAATGAGCCCGCCGTGGTGACCGCGTAATTATTATTGGCACAGTGGAGCTGCGTGTCAAACGCTGCTCTTAAATATTGTCGTAAGAGCTTACGACGCCTGTAGCGCACCGGTGTCTGTTGCTATGACGACCTTTGTCATGACATCAATAGGATATAGCCTTGGAAGGTTCATCGACATTGCTAGTCGGAATTATAATCGTATATTCGAGTTTTCAACGTAGTTGCAATTTCCCTAATTCTCTGGCTTCTTTTTATAAACGTAAATATTTGGGAACTTATACCTCTCCCACTTTTGTATTCCGCTTTCAACTGTTTCAATACGTAATAATAATAGTCTATTGAATTCTATCTAAATATGATACAAGCAATAAATAGAAATTTATAAAACTAATTACGTTTAAAGAAATCAAAGTTTAGCAACATCGTGGATAATAGTTAACAGACGAAGCTACAATATTCATCTAAAAATATGCTATCATGGATTTGTTTTAATAACAAAGAATATCAGTATATATTCATATTTTAGAATATATTTACGTACTAATACAAATGTATATCAAGAATTAAAGCTAATATCATATTGGTGTATTTATACAAGCAAAATAAATCTATGAATATAGCCAAAAACAAGAGATATTATATTCAATAAGCCTTTATTATCCACATTGATGTTCAAGATTATGATCTTTATTAACTTAATGTATAAAAAACTAGCGAGGTATCAAGAGAATGACACATACCGCTATTAAATATCTTAGATATTAAAAATAGTTGCTCAGTATATGAAAAAAGATAATATAACGTCCCTGATATAAATAAGAATGATTGATTCTATTATATGAGAAATATTGATTTTGAAAAACTTATCTGAAGATTCTATAATGTTCTTTCATTTACGGTTGTATTAATAACGGCTATACTCTATTTTTTTTACTGTATAAAAGAAAATAAACGTACTAACATTCGAAGTGTTGTAATTCAAGTACAATGCATTTTATGTTCAACACAATGTATGTTACTCTCATAGAAAGATTTATATTATTATAATCTCGTATAAGATTGAATTATAGTCAGTTATATTCATTCAGATAAATAAATGAAATAGAAAAAGTTTAAAATTCTAATAACAATTTTCATAAAAGTTTTTTATTTTAGTACAATGGAAATGAAAAATAGAGTCGATTGAAATTGTTTTTCTACAAAAACAACAAAAGAGAGTTAAAATCATTACTCAATTTTTGTTGAAAGTCTGCCATTTGAATAATAGTTATGTAGGTATAAATATTTAGGAATGCATGGTATAAATGAGGTATAATGAAGAATGTAGTGCAAACTGTTTGTATATATATATGTACGTTCTAGATTGTGAGACCCTTTTTCAATGCAATTTAACATTTGGCAAAAGAACATCGTAGATTTGTCTTTTAGATTTCAAAACTTTCTTGCTCACAACCATCTAGCAATAGTGTCATAAAATATCTGGAAAAACAAGACAATAAACACGGGAAAAACCCACTCATTAGGCATCTGTATGAATTCGTTCCGCTCGGTAACTACTTCAAGCAGTATGTACAAACTGATCCCTATCCCCTTTCCGCTGTCGACAAGTTGTCTTGCTGTTGCCAGATGTGTCAGCCGCAACGAGAGCTCTTCTTGCCGTGAAGATCAAGAGACAACTACGCTCTTAATTAATTATGAAGCCACAATAGGCGCTACCCTCGCTCTGTAAGGGAGGAGTCTCTGATTGGACGAAGAATAAGGGAAGGGGTTCAAGTGAAATTCATGGTCAGCGAATGTATGTAAGGGGCGCATTTTTCAATATTCATCACACTCGATACAGTACTTATTCAAATAAGAAGTGGAAGTTCCCTATTAACGTAGTTCAAGACAACTATCGTTACAAGTCCTATTGGCAGGAGACGTATTCCCTTATCGAAGTCCGAAGACAAGTGTCCAGTGACAGCCCTCTTGAAGAAGGAACAAGGATGTTCCGATACTAAGTATACCTGTTGTCTTCGTAAGTAGTATCATTACTACAATACTTACCAAACTCTGAGATTCAGAGATTACGTCATCGACAAGCAACTAAGGATGAAGAGGCTCTTCCCAGAGTAACAGTGCGGAATAAATTCCAAACGCGTCGCCAAGTTCGCGCCAGCTGATACGCGTCTTGTGGGTAAACCCTCGCCTTAGTTCAAAGTCTGACGCTTATGAATATACGCAGAGCACCATTCACCGCTCATAACAGCCGCAACACGTAGCAGTATCCTTCACGAGGTAACAGCCCTTCAAACCTTTAGTTCCATCTGAATTTATTGCAGTGCGCAAATATCAGGACAAGGTACGCTTGCTACGATACGAGTATATCTCAAGTAACAACAACTACATATGTCGCTCTCCATAATAACTATAACCTCAATTACGCACGTGCTCATCCAAAACAACGCGAGTTTCGACAAATCAAACTTCACGCCATTCTACGCTTATATGTTGAATTCAATTTTACGAATTTTCTCATATTCATAAAAGTTCACATCCACAAAATATTTACTATTAAGTAAATTCGTTTTATAAACTAAGTTCAAAAAATTAATAGTTAACTATAGTCTTATTCTACCATTTGTATTATTATTAATTATTTTATATGTTAAATTTATAACTTAAATTATAAGTTAAAATGTCTTGTAAATTAATATAAATTTATATAAATTTTTACTCGAATTTAAAATTTCTGCGAGTTCAAACTGTTCGAAATTGAAGCCAGTTTCAAGACCGCCGATTGTCGGCATCACCGGCCTTTTAGATCTCAGATTTCTGTAAACACTAGGACGGGAATTTTTTGTATACTTGTTATGTTTTAGTTTCAAATGGCCCATAATGTTTATATGGTCTTCGGGTAATAACATCGCCCGGAAGTTTCTATCGGTATTATGCCCTACTTTTTCTTTCGTCGAATTTTCGAAACATCTAGATTTTTTTTCTACGCCTCGTGTGAGATTCCAGTTCAACAACAACGATGCTTTCATGCCAGCTAAGTGAGCCGCCGCGTGGATATATAAGGCAAGCACGCAGCACGCCTCGCTTTCTTGCTGACCGGCTCTCTTGCCGATCCACCTCGCTGAAATGCGTTTGTGGCTGACATCTTGCCGTGACCCGACCGCAGAGAACCGACCATAGTGAACCAATCTAACCATCTACCAGTAGAAGTCAAGGCACACGGGTCTCGATCTACCCTCTGCAGGACCGTATTTTCAGTAGAGCCGCCACTGAATGATCAAGCCTTCGGTTCGTGCGCATATTCAAAAGGCTTATAGGTTCATTGTAATTCTACCTTGCGTCCACTTAAATGTTACTACCACTCAGTGTTTTAGTATATACTGTGACGACGACACAAGACCGCATATTCGGCAGCCAACTTAAAAATACACGTGCATGATTAAAAAGAATCATCAAGATCAGGTAGTGATTTACAGTGAAGCCAATTGGACTCGTAATCAAATGGGGCACACCAGCCACGCAGTAAATCAACATACCTTGTCGGCAGTTTACAAAGTACATCTCCTTATGTTATTAAATAAGCTAGTCATACACGCACAAAATTACGTATCAGAAAAGTGC